AGAAAGAAAGCATTTGCCTTGCCACAATTAAGTGTGATGCTAGCTGCATGTTTTTGGCAAGTGTTCTTTATCAAGTTGAAAAAGTGCCTCTTACTCCTTGTTTGCTGAGAGTTTTTGTTGGGGATTGGTGTTTGATTTTGCAGAATGTGTTTTTGGTATCAATTATAGAATCACATAATTTTTTTTCTTTAGCCTGTGGCTGTGGTGGATTATAGTTATTAGCTTTTGAAGGGTGAACCAACCTTGCATATCTGGAATACATTTCACTTGGTTGTGGCGTATAATTCTTTTTTATACATTGTTGGATTTAATTTGATAATATATTGTTGAGAAATTTTGCATCACATTCATGGGAAATACTGACCCATAATTTTCCTTTTTTGTATTGTGTTTACCTGAATTTGCTATCAGGGTAATGCTGGCCTCATAGAATAATTTAGGAAAAATGTTTCTTCTGCTCTACTTTGGGAAAATATTGCAGAGAATTGGCATTGTTTCTTCCTGAAATGTTTAAGAATTTACTAATAAAAGCCTCTGGGCTGCGATCTTTCTTTTTTGGAGGTTATATAATCACTGATTCAATTTTAAAAATAGATATAGGTCTGTTCAGACTGTTTATTTATCCTTGCATGAATTTTGGTCTTTTTGTTTGGTTGGTTTTGAGATGGAGTCTCGCTCTGTCGCCAGGCTGGAGTGCAGTGGCCCAATCTCAGCTCACTGCAACCTCCACCTCCCAGGTTCACACGATTCTCCTGCCTCAGCCTCCCAAGTAGCTGGGACTACAGGCATATGCCACAATGCCCCGCTTATTTTTGTATTTTTAGTACAGATGTGGTTTCATCATGTTGGCCAGGATGGTCTTGATCTCTTGACCTCATGATCCACCCGCTTTGACCTCCCAAGGTGCTAAGATTACAGGCATAAGCCACTGCACTTGGCCGAGTTTTGATCTTTTAAGGAATTGGTTTATTTCACATAAGTCTTCAAATTTGTGGGTATAACTTTGTTCCAGCATTATTTTATTATCCTTTTAATGATTTGCAGGGATAACCCCTCCTTCATCTGATATTGATAACTTGTATAATATCAATTTTCTTTTTTTGTTATCTTGGCTACAGGTTGATCAATTACTTATCTTTTTAAAGAATACACTTTTAGTTTCACTGATTTTTCTGTATTTATTTCTTAATTTCATTGATTTATGCTAAAATCTTGCTTGCTTACTTCTCTTCATCTAGTTCTTTGGGCTTACATTTTGATTCTTTTTCTGCTTTTCTAAGGTGGAAATTTAGGTTATTAATTTAAATATTTCTTCTTTTCTAATATATGCATTTAATACTATACATTTCCCTCTAAACATTGCTTTTGCTGCATTACACCAAATTTGATACATTGTATTCCCTTTAAATCTGTTACTTATATTAAAACATTAAATTTATTCTGTGATTTATTCTTTGAACCATGTGTTATTTAGAAATGTTTTCTTTAATTTTCAAATATTGGGCATTTTCCAGCTTTTTTTTTTTGAGACAGGATCTTGCTCTGTCACCCAGGCTGGAGTGCAGTGGCATAGTCACGATTTGCTGCAGCCTCAACCTCCCCCACTCAAGTGATCTTCCCAGTTCTGTCTCTCAAGAAAGCGGGACCACAGATATGCTCCATAATGCCTAGCTAATTTTTTATTTTCTGTGGAAATGGAGGCTCCCTATGTTGCTCAGGCTGATTTAGAACTCCTGGGCTCAAGTGATTCTCCTACCTCGTCCTCTCAAAGTTTTGGGATTACATGTGTGAGCCACTGCACCTGGCTTCAGCTATCTTTATATTATTGATTACTAGTTGAATTCCACTGTAGTCTGAAGACATACATTGTATGATTTCTACTCTTTTAAGTTTGTTAAGGTGTATTTTCTGGTCTATAATGTGGTCTATTATGGAGAACATTCCATGTGAGCTCGAGAAGAATGTGTACTCTGCTGTTGTTCAATAAATGTCAATTAGAACCGGTTGACTGATTGTGCTGTACATGTACACAATATTCTAATGCTTTTCTGTTTTCTTGATCTATCAATCAATGACAGACTAATGTTGAAATCTCCAACTATCTAACTCATTCTGATGTAATTTTTCTAAAGGATGTAAGGTCTGTGTCTGGATTCTTTCTTTCTTTTTTTCTTTTTTTTTTTTTTGCAGGTGGGTGACCAGTTCTAGCATCATTTGTTTACTCCATTGTATTGCCTTTGATACTTTGTCAAAGATCAGTTGACTATATTTCTGTGGATCTATTTCTGAGCTCTCTATTCTATTTCATTGATCTATGTGTCTAGCCTGTTGCCAATACAACAATGTCTTGATTATTATAGCTTTATAAGTCTTGAAGTCTAGTAGTGTTAGTCCTCCAACTTTATTCTTCTCCTTCAGTACTGTGTTGGCTATTCTGCATAATTTGCCTCTTCATATAAACTTTAGAATCAGTTTGCTGCTACTCACAAAATAAAATTCTGGGATTTTTATTGACATTGCATTGAATCTATAGATTAAGTTGGAAGAACCAACATCTTGATAATATTGAAACTTCTTTTGCATAAATATGAAGTATCTCTCCAATTATTTAGTTTTTAAATTTCTTTTATCAGAGTATTGTAGTTTTCCCCATATAGATTTTATATGTATTTTGTTAGATTTATATTCAGATTTTCAGGTGTTTGTTTGCTCTGTGATCATGTCTCTGCTTGGTCCAAGAAAAGCCACTGACTTTCAGTTTACCCAGCTTTTTCTTGTGTTAAGGATAGGAGTTTTGACTTTCAAAGTCTTCACATGTTGGAACTGAATCTGAAAATTCCCAATTATTTGTATAGTGAAAATATACAAATTTAGTTTTAATGTTATTAAAACTATAGCAAAATCAATATATAGGGAGGGAAATCAAGGAAGCATGGGTTGAGCATAAGTTCTGGGAACTTCAAGTAGTTTGATGTGCTCTAGATCATAGTATACATGTGAAAGAGGCTACATATGTGTATTAGTCCATTCTTACACTACTATAAAGATAGTACCTGAGACTGAGTAACTTGTATAGAAAGGAGGTTTAAATGACTCACAGTTCCACATGGCTGGGGAGGTCTCAGGAAACTTACAATCATGGTGGAAGACAAAGGGGAAGCAAGGCACATCTTACATGGTGGCAGGTAAGAGAAAGAGAGTAGGGAAACAGCCACTTTTAAAGCACTGGATCTTGTGAGAACTCCTTCACTATCACGAGAACAGCATGGGGGAAACCACCCCTATGACCCAATCACCTTTCACCAGATCCCTCACTTGACATGTGGGTATTACAATTCTAGATGAGATTTGGGTAGGGACACAAAGCCAAACCATATCAATATGGTTTGATGAAACTAGGTAGGCAGGGATTGGAACCTCCTATGCAGAGTGTTATACACTTAGTGATGCATTAAATCAATGTGTCTTACTCTTTAACTCCTTAGTATTTAGCACAGCGCCTAATAAGTAGAAGGTGCTGAATAAATGCTTACTGAATGACTAGACAAAGGAAAGAAAATATAATTGAAATCTATACTTAATATTAAGTTAAATTAAAATGACGCTTCTCATTTCTATTCAGGAACATGAAGACTTTTATTCTACAGTTTGTTTACTCATCTTTCTCAGTATGTTTTAAAATATTTAAGTGTATAAAAACACCTCTTTTATTTCCAATGTTTCCAAATGTCTAGGCAGCTCTGCATGTTTAGATGGTAGTTTCAAAATTTTAATTAATATTTATAGCCTCCTCTTGCTGCTTCCCCTATGAATAAAAAATTATTCTTTGGGTAATGTCTCTGAAGTTAATATTGACATTCAAACTATTCAGAGGTGGCTTAATATTCTCGTTGTCTTCCCCCATATTTCCCCAGGGACAGTAGTTTCTCTGGGTTTCCCAGAGCCACAATACAGGAAGCTTTTTCTATCACATGTTTTCTTATCTAATTTTAAAGAGAGTAGTAGTTCTTTACTACCCTTCTATAATACAGGGGACAGTGATTTCTGTTTTCTTTCTTTCTTTTTTTTTGAGATAGAGTCTTGCTCTGTCACCGAGGCTAGAGTGCAGTGGCACAATCTCAACTCACTGCAGCCTCTGCCTCCTGGGTTCACGTGATTCTCCTGCCTCAGCTTCCTGAGTTGCTGGGATTACAGGTACCCACCATTATGCCCAGCTAATTTTTGCAGCTTTAGTAAAGACAGGTTTCTCCATGTTGGCCAGGCTGGTCTCAAACTCCTGACCTCAGGTGATCCACCTGTCTTGACCTTGCAAAGTGCTGGAATTACAGGCATGAGCCAGCACGCTTGGCCCCAGTGATTTCTATTCTGCTTCCTTACTCGTGGCTTTAGTATCTTGCTAGGTCTGAAAATGTACATCCAAGGTAGAGCTATATCAGAAGGCAATTCAATATTTATTCAAAGCTATAATGGAATATTTGCACTTTCTGTTGTTTTGGGATAAATATTAGAGATATGTCACCCCATGGAAGCTTTGTCTAAAGGTCTGGCATGCAGGGATGCATGAGGTTTTCTAAATTAAGACCACATGTAGTATCAAATATTAAAGTAATGGAGACGTTGAGGACATTTCAATTAATTTTATGTTATAGATGAGGGAAACAAGACTTAAAGAATTGCAGAGATTTTTTTTTCTGTTTGCACAACTAGTTACTGGCAGAACTGAAATTCATTTTCAGTTAAACACTCTCTTCTCTACATCCCATTTTTCAATTTTGAGGGCTTATTATTTTGGATAATAGCCCTCATTTTGGTTTATAGCCCTCAAAAACCAAAAATAGTATGAGTGCTATCCTGAGTTTTATGCCCTTGGAGTTTGATATCACCAGTACATGCTGTTCAAATGCTTGGTGTCCTGCAGAACCACTTACAACATTCTCCTTATTGGAAATGAAAGAGTGGAGAATTTCCCAGAGGAGACAGGGGAAATTATTTTAGAGAAATTTGCAGAACCCCTGAAGAATATGTCCTTTTTTCTCAGCAGGTTCATTGACCAGGTCATACCAACCAGATGAATCCAGCAAATCATTCCCAGGTGGCAGGATTTGTTCTACTGGGGCTCTCTCAGGTTTGGGAGCTTCGGGTTTTTTTCTTCACTGTTTTCTCTGCTGTATATTTTATGACTGTAACAGGAAACCTTCTTATTGTGGTCATAGTGACCTCTGACCCACATCTGCACACAACCATGTATTTTCTCTTGGGCAACCTTTCTTTCCTGGACTTTTGCTACTCTTCCATCACGGCACCTAGGATGCTGGTTGACTTGCTCTCAGGCAACCCTACCATTTCCTTTGGTGACTGCCTAACTCAACTCTTCTTTTTCCACTTCATTGGAGGCATCAAGATATTTCTGCTGACTGTCATGGCATATGACCGGTACATTGCCATTTCCCAGCCCCTGCGCTACACACTCATTATGAATCAGACTGTCTGTGCACTCCTCATGGCAGCCTCCTGGGTGGGGGGCTTCATCCACTCCATAGTACAGGTTGCATTGACCATCCAGCTGCCATTCTGTGGGCCTGACAAGCTGGACAACTTTTACTGTGATGTGCCTCAGCTAATCAAATTGGCCTGCACAGACACCTTTGTCTTAGAGCTTCTAATGGTGTCTAACAGTGGCCTGGTGACCCTGATGTGTTTTCTGGTGCTTCTGGGATCCTACACAGCACTGCTAGTCATGCTCCAAAGCCACTCACGGGAGGGCCGCAGCAAGGCCCTGTCCACCTGTGCCTCTCACATTTCTGTGGTGACCTTAATCTTCGTACCTTGCATTTACATCTATGCAAGGCCTTTTCAGACATTCCCCATGGACAAGGCAGTCTCTGTGCTATACACAGTACTCACCCCCATGCTGAATCCTGCCATCTATACCCTGAGAAACAAGGAAGTGATCATGGCTGTGAAGAAGCTGTGGAGGAGGCAAAAGGATCTTACTGGTTCCCTGTGCAGACCCTTAGATTAGCAGAGGCAGTGACCTGAGAATCTGAAAGACGCGTCAGGGTATTAGCTTGCTTGATAGGACCCTAAAGGTAGATAGAAATCTCTGCCCACTGCTTCTCCATTGTTCTTAACCTCAGTCAGGTTCTGGTGACCTGAACAATTAGCCATAATAGAAGATGGGATGAGTGTCTTAGAACCACTTCTAAGTGCCTCCCAGATAAAAGGTATCAAGTTCTATGCAGAAGTACTGTTTGGCTCAGAGACCACTTTCCCAGGTAAGAATGGTGTTGGCCTTGCTGAGAAAGTTTCAACTAGTAAATCTGGTGTCTCTTTCCTGATATCACTTTTTGGACACAAAATACATTAGAAGAGCTTAAAATATTTTAAAATTTCTTTAAGACAAGCGTTCTCTTGAAATATTGGACCCTGAGTCCCAATGGAGACCGATTGATAGTTGAATGTTTGTCAGTGAGGAAAAAGGGAATTACCTTGAGCACATCACTTTCTTCCTCATAGTTTCCTAGGGCCACCGTTGTTGCCATCAGTGTCCTCATTGTCATTATCTTCATCACATAAATAACATTTAGTTACTTTTAGTTAGTTACTATGTTCCACTGTACCCAGTGATTTCCTTTTATAATTTATTTTAATTTTCTCAAATTTAAAATTCTTATGAGGTAGGTTTTCATATTTACTTTAAACATGAGTCAACTGCAAGTTAGAGACATTACATAACTTACTTAAGGCTGCAGAGCTTGTTTTCTGGAATCCAACCCAAGTCTATACAATGCCAGTGCCCAAGTCCTCAATGGTATCTAAAACTTCTTACAGGTTCTAAGGATCTGTGGGTTTATGTTATCATGGATAGAGTTTATATCATCATGAGTTATACTGACATCATAGACTTGGCATTTGATCAAACTTTTAAAATATATCTTGATCATTTTCTCCCTTACAACCCTTCAGAGGCTTTCCATTGCCTTTAAAAAAAAAAAAACCGTGAATATTATAGATAAGATGTTGTCTGACTTGGCCTCCACCCATCTCTCCAATCTCACTTCTCTAACTCCACTCTTCTAGCCCTCTATTTGCATTTACTTCTGTCAGTCTCTGGGATGCTCTTCGTTTAGTTTTTGCCTGGCTAACTCTTGCTCAATCTCAATCCTTGGTCTAAAGATTGCTTCCTCAAAGCTGTGTTCCCTGATCTTTAATCCAAAGTAACTTGTCCTTAGTAGTTCCTCTAACAAAACTCAAAAGTATTTATCACAGATTTCAATTACATACTGATTTATCTATTTATTATTTTTGTGTCAGCCATTGCCCACTATCCTACAAACTCTTTAAAAGAAAGAGCCATGTTTAACTTACTTAATACTATATTCTCCAAGCCTAGCACCACAGCCTAGATGAGGGTGCAGCAACAGAGGGGCCTCATGTCAACACTGAGCAGGCATTTACTATTGGGTTTGTACACAGCCTACCCTGAACTTACACTCCCCTCAAAGTGCATGTCTCTTTAAAATTTGTTCTGTAGACATCTCCCTTGGCTCAACCTAGTTGGAGCATTGCCTGGGACAGTGCCTGAAACATACTAGATGTCTAATAATATTTCTTAAAGGAATGATTAAATGAGTGTTGCCATATTTGAAGTCTGTTAGTAGAGTTTGACTTGGGAATGAGGGCTATCCAAATATTTAACTGGTCTTAACATTCTTCCTTTATGAGATTCCTATAGGAGCCGCTAGTCATATAAGGTGCAATAACAAATGCAAATCAGAGAATCATTTATTACTGCAGCCAGAATTGGATTTTCTAATAATACAGAGGTTCTGCTTAATTTTATTTGCAATACCCAATCTAGTTGGAAGCCCTCAGAGGGCCTCTTACTCCTCACTGAGCTCCAAATCTGAATCTCCATATTTCAGCATCTTCTGATTGACTACATGACACAGGAGACTGATGCAGAAAGAAAAGTGTTTAAGCGTACATATGAGGAGAAAGAGAAGGAGCCTCCCTGTATGGACGTCACGTGCTCACACATGTTCTCCAATCCAGGGATTCTATCTTGAAAGCAATTTGACCAATTGGATCAGCCCTCTATGTGGGGAGGAGGAGGCACAAGGAAGAAAGGTTGTAGGGAGGGAAAATGAAGGTTAACCACCAGATTTCATATTGTATATTTACAAAGACCGTTCATTAGCTGAGAAAAGTACACACTGTTGCTTATGTTCTTTAAACTTCTTGCACATTTAAAACATTTTCAATAAGCATTTAATCTCCCATTTATCATTTCCTTTGACTCGTGACCCTCAGTTTCCTCACAGCAGTGAGCCTGAGCCACCCCAGGGTGTCTCTCAGTGCTTGCTGCACCTTGTCATTGCGGAGAGTGAAGATGAATGGGTTGAGGAGGGGTGTGATGATGCAGCTTAGGACGGCAACACTCTTGTTGAGCAGTTTGGACTGAGCCTCTGACATACGAATGTAGAGAAACATGGAACTGCCATAGACGATGATCACCACTGTAAGATGCGAGGCGCAAGTGGAGAATGCTTTCCTTCGCCCAGCAGCTGTGGGGGCCCCAAGGACAGTGACAAGAATGCAGGCATAGGAAACTGAGGTCAGAGCCAGCGAGCCCAGTAACACTGACGTAGAAAGCACTAAAGCCACCAGTTCCAGCAGATGGGTGTCCCCACAAGAGAGCCTGAGCAAGGGCCAGCTGTCACAGAAGAAGTGGTCAATACCATTGGGGCCACAGAAAGGCAGGCTGGCCATGAGGACAGTGGGGCAAAGGACCCAGAGGAATCCAGCTAGCCAGGAGGCCAGCACTAGCTGGAAACAGACATGGCCACTCATCAGGGTCTCATAGTGGAGTGGTCGGCAGATTGCCAGGTAACGATCCAGAGACATGACGGCCAAGAGGAAGAAGTCGGTGGTGCCTAGAAGGAAGTAGAGGTAGGACTGGATGATGCAGCTGACAAATGAGATGGTGTGATTCCCCGTCAGGATGACGACAAGCATCTTGGGAACTACAACAGTTACCAGCAACAGCTCCAGGAAGGATAAATTCCGCAGAAAGAAGTACATCTGTGTGTGCAGGCGTCGGTTGGTCCAGCTGAGCACAATAATTAACAGGTTGCCTGTGGCTGTTACAATATACGTCGCCATTAACCCCAGGAACACCAGGAACTGTAGGAGATGGTTACTGGGGAAACCCAGTAGGACAAAGCTTGTTACCTGAGTCCAGTTTTCAGGGCTCATCTTCAGTCACCTGCAGGAGAAATGAAACAGAACTCTGTAACTTGTCTATAGCTACCAATCATCATTTAACCAAGTGGTAAAATAATATTGAATACCCATCACTTCCTTACATTCTGAGAATATGTTGATTTATATTTTGGTCTGCAAGTGACTTACAAAGAGAGAAACAAATTACAATAGTAAGCAGCATGGCAACATTGAACATCCAATTCTGTATCTGAAAATTTACACTGTGCACAGTATCTGTTCTCCCAGTAAAACATTAAAACTCTTAAAACTAGGTTTTACTGTTTTCAGAGATAAGAAAAGGATGACAAAGGGAGTTTAAGTGACTATTCTATTATCAGGTATGAAACAGGTGGTAGAGGCAGGATTTCATACCGAGCTTCTGTGACTCCAACACATGCTGCTGACACTGTTGTGCTCAGACAGAGAACCATGCGAGTATTGTGGCCTTAGAGGAATCCAGAGGAGTAGAAGGGTCAGAGAAGACTTTACATAAAAAATGCACCATGAACAAATTTTACTGGTATTAAGAACTCTTGTTTTAGTGTTTATGGTCCTTCTGTGTCCTGTCTTGACATAAAATAACAGAATTAAAAAATCTGGGCTTTCGGTATCCTTAGAGATTTAATTTGCGATAGTCAGCCAGGAAGCCAAATAAGACCAGACTGGCAAAACCCCAATGCTGTCATAACGTATTATTTTTCTGCCCCCGACCCTGACCTAGACTCCTGTAGAATGCTAGAAATCCCTCTTCCTAGTGCAATGCTTACTAGTTTATCTCAGCTTCAGTTCACTCAACATTCTAATAGTATAAGATGGGGAATCAGGGGAAATGGTCTCAAAGGAGATGGTATGTATCAACTTGCCTTCTCAACTTTTGCCTTAATTTGGAGATATGTTTGGCATCCTGTAAAATGTATCTATATGTTTTGAAGGACTGGGTTTCTTTAGACAATTAGACATCTTGGGTTCTTTTTTGTTGTTGTTGTTCTTTTTTTAACATCTAGCACCAAACACTCAGAATCACATAGATCTTGCTTAATTAGAGAAAATGGGAAATATTCTAAGACAAGAAGAATGAAAATGAGCATTAAGTTACTTTGTTTAATTGACAAGGAGTAAAGTGTTAAGAGTTTAGACAAAGTTTAATTGAGGATTATCTATTACTTCAGACAAACAGTGTCAAAGATGGGGAGCACAGATATTTTCTCAATTCTGTCTGAAGCTACTTTAACAGGCAATATTGAACTGAGGCAAGCAATCCAGGTTTGAAGGATGAAGAAGAGAGACATGTTCTGTTTATATCAATTCTGGAAAGAATAAGTCTGAGATTTAAGTAGCTAAGTAATAATAATGCTTCATTCTGCTAGTCTAGGGCTTACATCTCCAAAATCAAAGAAATAACCTTAATAAAACCCAGCAAAGGAGGCCAGAGCACTATGCCAGGATAACATAATCTTTTCATATAATGAAATGTGCTATTGTGGCTATTTCCAAAGCACCAGGTAAATATCAAAAGTAACTTATAAAGCCTGTGAAACACATGAAATCAGTTTCTGACTACTGTTATAAAATACATTCACTGAAGTCTGTTCTCCAGCTTCCCTTTGTCAACCTGAATAACTCCTTATCAGTTCCAGAGAGCCTCGTCAGTTGGCTGGCTGTCTCTTATAATGCCAGACCATAACTATGTCATCCTTGTATATACATGTTTAAAATGTTGTCATTTTCAACCTCAAAATAATCTTACTGCCTTAAATCATTTGCCTAAAGTCAAACAGCTAAAAATTGTTTGTATTATAGTTGGAAATGTTT